AAAAAAAAAAAACTAATGAAAATATTAATACATCAACATTTAGAATTGTTTTTCAAAGCAAACGAAAGATTAAATTTCATCACACAAGTTGCCGTCACCATTAGAAAAAATTTCGATACTCCTCTTTACACCAAATATTATCCATACCCTGCATCTTTGAGAAATGAAGTTGAAAAGCAAATAGGAAAGCTGCTAGAAGATGGAATTATTTGACCTTCTAGGTCTCCCTACAATTCACCAATATGGGTAGTTCCCAAAAAAGAAGATGCTTCTGGAGAAAAAAAATAAAGAGTAGTAGTAAATTATAGGAAATTGAATGCGGTTACGATATATGATAGATATATAGATCTTATTCTTGATATCAATGAGGTATTGGCGCAATTCGGGTAAGATAGTTTGTTTTCTGTAATCGATTTGAAAAATGGTTTCCACCAAATGAAAACGTCGCTATAAGAGTAAATGATTTTTGCAAATACGTAAATTAGGTCAGTCAGTTTCAAACTTGCGAACTAGTAACACCTTTTGTAAAATCAACTTCGTCAAATTACATTCAAGGCAACATGTGTGATATCCAAAATTTATACACGGCTGAAGAAGCATGAGAATCAATTTTTACAGCAAACAGGCTACCGTTGGAGTAGCCTTAAACGGTTTTCGATGTGGGGCCACGAAGTAAAATTCCAAAGTACTGCTGTAAAAAATCGTTGGCAGATAAAAGCATTGAACCCTTCAAGATCACGCAGCCAGTTATTACAAGGAGTGTGGGGATTACCAGGTCAGACGAGCAAGATAGAATGCTTGAAGAAAATTGTAGTGGTACCGCCAAAAATTAATCAACGAATGCCACGGCAGAAAGCTACAATTAAATATAGAAAACCTTCAATCAAAACTATCTACTACTCCAAAGGTGCTGCCAAGTGATTGCACGGAAAAGGGAAGAAAATGCAATAGCTAATCCATCCGAAAAAGGGAGGATGTAATTTGAAATAAAATAGTTATGTAATGTATAAGCAGCATAATTATTTTTTTTTTCTTTTTATTAATGTAAGACTAACAAGCATTTTTAGTTTAATAAACTATAAATTTTTACGCTGTTCAATCATGAACACATTTATTTCCGCATTAAAGACGCCCGCAGAATTTTCAACATTTATATATTTGTAGTAGCTTCGCTAGTTACACATAAATACACTAATTGTTAATCTCACACCAAACGCTTATCTTGCCGCCCTTTTTCTGCCAGCTGCTCTTTTCTTGTCCCGTGTTGTACAACGTACATTTACTACCAGTGTTGTACTACGTCCGTTTACTACAGTCCTCCCCTTTTAATATTGTTGGTAGTCTTGATGTCAACGTGGCGCATGCCTCTTTGTAGCCCTTTGAGATCGTCTTAACTCTTTGTAACGTGTTATAGTCGATATTTCCTGATTGCTATTAAAATCATCATTGGAATTAGTCTGTTGCTCGATAGCAGGGGATAGGATCTCTTCCGGTACATAAGTTCGATTTGGAACAATGAACGGTTCAACTGTATGCGTGAATTCTGGAACTTTAAGCAGTTCATTTAGTACGTTTTTTGTATAACGATACTTCAGCTGGTTTACATGTGCTTTAATAACGCGCTCATTACTTTCCTGGTCAATTTTGACTTCATAATTTACTACTCCAAGTTTCTTTATGATTACAGCAGGTATCCAAGTCCATTTATTATTATTGGAATGAAGTTTATAGTAAACGTTATCTCCAATGCTGAACTGCTTTAATTTTGTCTCTTGCTGATTACTTTGTTTTTTTAATTCGCCTTCCGGTTTTTGCTGTTTAATGCAGTCAAGACGAATTTTCATTTTTCTGCCATTTAGGAGCTCAGATGGTGATTTCATACCGAGATTGTAGGATGGTGTGTATCGATAACAAGTGAGGAATTCGTTGAGCTTCCTGTCGATACTTCCCTTTGCCTTTTTAAGTCTTGATTTGAGTAGGTCAACGAACCAATCTGCTTGGCCATTTGATTGTGGACTGTATGGAGCTGTAGATATGTGATTAATTCCTTGGAAGTCGCAAAAATTTTTGAATTCCTGCGAGATGAATTGCGGAGATTTATCACTAACAATCGTGTCACAAAGGCCGTGTTGCGCAAAAGCTTTCTCAATGAACTCAATAGTTTTAGCTACAGTAGTACTTGAAGTTGAAATATTCAATTTCTGGCCATTTGCAAAAAGCGTCTATGATAACAAGGAAGTAATTGCCATCGATTGGACCAGCGTAGTCAATATGAATTCGTTTCCATGGTGCAGAAGGAATTTTCCACTGTTGAGGAGTACATTTCATTGGACTTTTTGAGGCTGTAGCGCATGTGTTACAAGTTTTGACCACATGTTCGATATCAAGATTAATGTTTGGCCAAAAAACTTTGATAGCAGCAAGATGTTTCATACGACACTGACCTGGATGTCCATTATGGAGATCTTCAAGGACTTGCTGGTGGTAAATTTTGAGAATAACAATTCTCTCACCAAAGAAAATACTCTGTTGTTGGATCGTAAGATGATGTCGATGCTGGAAAAATGCCGCTACTTCATTATCTGTGATTTGTTTTTTCTTTTGAGGCCAGCAGTCATTTTGGATGTAGGACGTAACCTTATTGAGAGTATGGCAGCCTTTGGTTGCTGTTTGAATATTAGTGAAAGTGATTGGAAGTTTGGTGGCCGTTTCTACCTCAAAACAGTTGATTTTCAGGTCCTCGTCTTCTTCTAATTGAATAGATGCTATGACGGTATCTATGACGGTTTGCGATTAGTCGAGAAATAATATCGGCATATCCAAAACTGTCAGTATTTATGTATTCAATAGAGAAGTCGTATGACAGAATAGTGGTTGCATAAAGTTGCAGGCGAGCCGCTGTAAACAACGGGATGCCATTTTTCGGGTTGAATATAGCAAGAAGTGGCTTATGGTCGATATGAATGGTAAAGCGACGACCAGAAATGTAATAGTGACATTTTTTTAATCCAAACACGAGAGCTCGAGCCTCCTTGTGCATTTGAGGACACTTCGCTCTGCTGCATTGAATGTAGCTGAGTAGTGCATAATTGGGTGAAGCGTTCCGCATGAGAACTGCACCCATATCGTATTCTGAAGCATCAGTAGCTAAATTTATTTTCTTTGCTAGATCGAAGTGCGTGAGACATAGATCAGAAGCTAATACATTTTTAATCTTGTTGAATGCTTCATTATGATGTTGTTTCCACTCAAACTTCTTATCTTTTTTTAAAAGTTCATCTAAAGGACCGTGAAGGCTTTTCATACTTTTAATGAATTTCGCATAATAATTTACAGCTCCTAAAAATGCTCATGTTTGTTGCAAATTTGTTGGGAGATCTTGGATTGATCGAAGTTTCCCTGGATGTGGTCTGATACCATATTGATCTACCGTGTGTTCGCAGAACTCGACAGATGTTTCTCCAAACTTACATTTCTCGAAGCGAAGTTTGAATCTATAATCCTGAATACGCTTTAAGGTTTTAAACAGTTGAATTTTGTGATCTTCTTCATTAATTTCCGAACAGATCATATCACCCAATAAACTCAATGCTATTGGTTCCGCTAAGCATTGTGTCAACCATCTGTTGAAAAATGCTAGGAGCTGTTTTAACACCTTGCTGCAGTCTAAGTACTTTAAATAAGCCGAAGTGAGTATTGATAGCCATCAGTTTTTGAGATTCTTGGTCCAATGGAATCTGGAAAAATGCATTTGATAGGTCAATTGGGCTAAAGACTTTCTTATTAGCGAGTTTGGAGAATATTTGGTCAGGCGTTGAAAGAGGATATTTATTTGGCTCTAGACCGTCATTTAGACCTTTAGAATAATAGACACATATATGAATTTTTCCATTCTTCTTTCTTACAACTACGATTGGCGCCGCTGACTGTGAGTATTCAATAGGTGACATTACTCCAAGATGTTGAAGACGTTCAAGTTCTGCCGAAACTATGGGAGCTGCTGCATATGGAACTGGTCGAGCGTTACGATAAACGGGTCGCGCTCCTCCTTTTAGTCTCAGAGTCGCTTGGGTCTTCGTAAAGCAGCCAAGGTCATTAGAAAAGAGAAACGGAAATCTAGCCTTTATTTCATCGTTTAATTTATCGCTACTAGTTAACATAGTTGGATTGCTTTGCAAAAGGAACTGATAGGCACTGACCATAAGTCTAATGTCGTTATCTAATCAATTCCAAACATGTTCAACTTAAGTGGTGTGACATAACACACATCATATTCCTCTTTTCCATTTAGGTTCACAACACAAGCGAAGCTGCCCAGAAGAGGAATTACATTTCCAGAAGCATCGCCAGCTTTTTATTTAGTAGTTTGTAAGGTTAGCTGACCAAGTTTGGTCCAGTTCGATTTGGAAATAATTGTTTGGTCCGACCCGGTATCAAGTTGGAGTTTAATTGTAGATTCATTGAGATTTGGTCTGACATACCTACTATGCTGCTGCGTTCTGTTAGTTTCGTCAATTTTCTTCAGACATTATGTGTCAGACAGAGATTTTCTGCGTCGCAACTTGCTTGGCTTCATATTGCAGTAACCATTTTTGTGGCCAATAATGTTACATGCTGAACATTCTTTGCCTTTAAATGGGCAATCTTTAACAAAATGAAGACCTTCACAACACCAACATGGCGTTGGTGGTTTCGAAGATTCGTCTTTTGTTGAAGAATTTGATAGTAATGATTCATTTTTGCGTTGATATCGATGGTGAATTGCAAAAACTTCTGAACTTGAAGATGGATGGACGACAGTGTATTTGTCTTGCTTCAGACAGATTATACGCTCAGCTTCATTAGTGAGGTCTTGAAGTGTTAAGCGGATGAAGGCATCCTTTTGCGCCTGTGTCTGAAGTGCACCAAACTGTGTTGATTCATTGTAGAGTCTTGCAAGGAGTTTCTCGAGTCGTGTAAACGAATCGTGTGAACTCTTCAAGCGATTGACAAAGATTTGTGCTTTAAACTCATCGGGAGTGCAATTAACGATGTCAAATTTTTCACAATGTTTGCTGACGTGAGCTGCATATTGAGCAAAGTCTTCATAATCCTGTTTTGAAATTGTAAGACATTTTTGGCGCTGAGAAAATTTTGATTGGCGATATCCGAAAATAGACGAGAGTTTGGCAACCGTTTGCATGAGTGTAAGCTCATGGGGTTCCTTTGGTAAGATTGAGTTTGCATATTGCTCGAAATCCAAATTTTTTAATTTGCTAGTGAGCAATCGAACCTTAGTCGGCTCAGTGAGATGTGCTGCTTCTATAGCGAAAACTGATTTATAACGCTTGTACCATGATTCAAATGTGACATTATTTTCAGGATCATAGCAAAACTCCAGCATTGAGTCAGATAGCTTCCTGAATGTTGACGAAACTGCCTCTGTAGTTAAAGAAGGCGCATCAATTTGTTGTTGTGTTCGCGACAAACGAAGCTCCTCAAGCAAAGCGTTATTTGATTTTTGCACAGCTTGCAACAACAAATTAAACTGTTCCGCATTCATGTTAGCTTTATCCTCGTCGCCAATGTAGTAGCTTCGCTAGTTATACATAAATACACTAATTGTTAATCTTACACCAAACGCTTATCTTGCCGCCAGCTGCTCTTTTCTTGTCCCGTGTTGTACAACGTACGTTTACTACCAGTGTTGTACTACGTCCGTTTACTACAATATTTATATTTGTCTATTTTATATTACACTCTAGCAACTTATACTTACTTGTTACATTTAAGTAAAATACAAATCATTGTTTAGGCGCATGCTTATCTCGTACGCATGCGCACAACTCTTAATCTTAAACAGATGCACATATTTATTTAGGTTATGCTCAATAATTGTTTAGGCACATGCTAATCAAATTATGCACATTAAGTAGAATAAGAAAATTATATATAAACTCTAGTACAGAGGGTTTTATGCGTTTTAATCTCCGTGCTGACTCAGCTGCGTTGACTAATTGTAAAACTTCTGCATTTTTATGTTGTGTAATTTTCGTTGCGTGAGCAACAGCATACGTTTTTATAACTTCCTCGACGGTTTTGATTGCTAGGTCACGATGTAGGTCTCCATTACAAATGTACCAGGGCGCATTTACAAAATTTCTAAGTACTTTGTTTTGGAAACGCTGTATTATCATAACATTGCTCTTACTGATGCATCCCCATAACTGTGTACCGTAAGTCTTGTGCAGACTTTGAAATTTGAATGTAAATCTGGAGTTTATTTTGTATCGATAACACTGAACGCCTACCGATTAACCATTTTATCTGCTTATACTTTAGCTCAAGTTCTTGTTTTTTCTTTTTCACATGCTCTTTCTAACGTAGTTTAGCGTCTAAGGTCATACCTAAATATTTCGCTGTATTCGCAAGGTATTTCCAGTCCATTTATATTTAATTTGCAGTGGTAGATCCTTTTATTCGTGAAGTCAACGTGTACCGATTTTGTATTGTTAAGCTTGAGTCGCCATTGTTTAGTCGTTGTTTCGTCCACAGATGAACATTATTAATAACTAACTGGAGTGTTTTAATTGATTCTATTTCATTAGAACTAATAGAGCTGTATCATCAGCAAACGTCGCTATTTTACAATTTTCTGTTATTGGGATATCATTAGTAAACAAAAGAAAGATTACAGGATAAAGGACGCTTTATAATTGTTATTGTATAATTGTTATTGTTTTCAATGCAAATTATAATATTGAGAGTGAGAGAAAAACAATATGACCGTTCAAATTTCGGCATGAGAGGTCTTTTTGCATCGGCACTTAGGCAATACAGTGTTGTTCAGTAATAAATTTCAGAATTTGCGTCTTTTAGAAGCAAATTACTGCAATTTAAACATATTTTGGAAAAAAATGGTAATAAGCAACTCAGCTTAATTTATTTATCGCTAACACGATTATTAATCGAATTCTTGCATTTTCCGGCTTAGAGCAGAAGTTTAATTTTGTAAGTATTATTAAAATATTTTATAAAACGATATAATATTTTTTATGTTAGACCTTTTACTTGTTTTTTTGTTGTTATAATATACTTGGCAATTTGTATTATTTAATATTTTATAAACCGATATAGTATTATTTATTTTGTAGTTTGACTGTTTATTGGAAGCCACCAGAGATCTCGCCGCATGAAACACAAAGGTCACTCAGACGGAATTATGGATGAAGAGGATGCAGTATCTATAATCGCAGTTTGCAAATTTGTAAATATTTTATATATTAGTTGTTAAGCTTAAACAATTGCATATATTGTACATAGTAGAAAATTAAGTGTAAACAATTATATATATTATACATAGCAGTCATTAAATTCAAACAGTTGTATATATTGTAAATATTACTTTCGTTTTTTATATATAAAATAAAATATTAACCTTTAAATAACTGTTTTTTAAGTTTTTCCAAATAGTGCGACATACGTGCGGTATACAATATATCAAATAAAAGTGGGATAGCCCAAACTATTGTAACTTTCTCCAGTTGCCAAAAATCGTAGTGTAACAGATAATTGCTCTTCTGGATAAAAGGCATTTCGGACGTTTGTATATCTTTTTCTACCAGCTGCATTCTGTAGAAGTTATTGAATGCATTTGTGTCTTACAGCTGCAGTTTATTAGATACAAATGCTTACGAACCGTGAATTCTTCTATCATTTCGCTACAATTTCGTCGCACATAACCTTTTACGGTGTGGTTTCTGCTGCAATATTTTGAAAAAATTAAAGCATTGTCTAATGAAAGGGGTATCTACCTTCCAAAAGTTTATGCGGGCCACATATTGTTTAAGAACTTGCATAACTTATAACAGTATTTTTTGATACGCTTATAGCATTGACAGACGGGAGCTAAATTATCATTAAGGGGCTAAATTATAATTTATTTGCTCATTTAGCAGTTTTAAATGATCATTTATGGTCTTTAAATGACCTAATTAAACCCAATTTATTCGTCATTTAGGTTTTTAGAAATGGTAATGCTGCATATGCAAGCGAAACGAAATAAAAAATGGAACAAATTTCAAGCTATTTGGTTGTCAAAATGTAAACAAAACATATTTGGAAACATTGGTAAATGTAAATACTCGATATATTTTTATATATTTTATATTCTTTTTATGTATTTTATATTTAATTAAAGCAAGGTTCTTTAATTTTTCTTGCTTATCCATTTTGAATTTAAAATTCTTTCTTTTGCTTTTTCAATAACAAAAAACATATGATACAGCAACTTCTTAATGATAATTTATACCGTCAGCGTCAGCGTATTTTTAAAATGATCATTTAAGGCTGCTTAATGATAATTTAGTGCGCTCGTCTGTCAATACTATTACATTCACTCATTTTTAAAATTGTTTTTAAGTAATACGAAGTTTACATTACGAACGTTAGTCAACGAACTTTGCTAAAGTTGATTTAGCGTTTACATTATCGTTTCGGGTTTTCATTTAAAGACTTAGCTAGACGGTAGGTAAAGTAAGAAATTAATTCAAAGCGAAATGCACAACCAACCAAATCTGCGTATTTGATAGGAACGAAATAAACAAAGTTCACCGTTTTTTCTGAGCCTTAATGTAAGTGAAGAAAGTTTGGATTGTTCTCAAGGACTTGAAAGAAGCTTGGCTGTTTGATTATATGTAAATTAATGAGATTGAAAGTCCGGTTTTCGGAAGTTTTCGGAAAGTCCGGAAAGTTTTAAAAAAATATTTATTAAATAAATAGCATTTACATGTAACTGTGTTCTAACGGTACAAGAATCTAATCTAAGTGAGCAATGCTCCTACTTTTATATTCAAATAGTCTGAGCTTACAAATAAAGCTTTTTACTCAAATCTTGCTCAGATCATAACTTAAAATCCATCTTATTTTCTTTTACAAATGATTTCGAGTTTTACATTTAACCCTACAAAGTGAGAGTGTGAGATAACACCCCTCTTTCTTAAAGAGAAACGTTTCTTTAAATGAAATGAAGTAACTGCTCTTATACAGCGGATGTTTTACAACTCTGTTGTTTTTGAAGTTGCTCACAAATTTCATTTGAAGAATGAAGAAGAATTTTGTTTACGTCTAGACTGTTTTATACGTCTACTCAGTTTATGACTGCCGTACGCGATAATAACAATTGTTGCCAAGAGTACAGTTGATGAGGTAATAGGATGTTCCTTGACGCGTTGTTGTAATTAGTTTATGTTTTCAAGTTTAAGTTGTTCATTATGACTTTCTATACACTTTATTATCTCAAAATTGTTTTGATGGTTCATCTTCAGATAATTATTAATTACAGTTTTTTGATTTATATATGTACTATTATCTATTGTTACATTGGTCTCAAAGGTAACTAGGTATACTCCTTCTAGGGTGTGTTCGTCAACTTCGTGATTGCCTGAGACTAGTATGGCACCATCTTTTATTATTTCTAGATTCTTATTCTTTTCTTTTATTTTAGTGCATGATGATTTACAGTGATTTAATAGGTTTGTTAAGTAGCTCTCATTTAAGGATAGTTTACAAAAACTATTACTTAGTTCTATCTTACACATTTGAACATTTTGAAATATCTTATTTCATCTTACAACTTCTTTTTCAATTGAAAATTTGCCATCTTTTTTGCTTATAGCTCTATTTTCATATAGTTTACAATTAGTTTTGATTATAGGATATGTAATATGTACCATTATTAAATCTGAGTTTTGTAAAATTTTGAATTTAGATACGTCCATCAAATCTGTTAGGGTGACTCTGGTATTCTCATGTTTGATTATGTCTTGGATTTCTTTTAAATCTAGTATCGCTGTGTTTAATATACCTGCCTTAGCTAGTGTGACTGTTTGTAATAGGTAGTTCTGTAGTTCAGTTAGTATTAGTCTGTTTGTTTGTTTCGTTACTTTTGTCTTGCGCAAACCGTTTTCTAAATTTTGAATCATCTTTTACATACTAAATATAGCTTTAAATATTTGTGAGTTGGTTGTTAGTTGTTTGTTATTGCTCTCTGCTAATTCGTTTAATTTGTTATTAATAGTTACCAGATCAACATGAACTGGGGACCCTGCTATCCATTTCCAAAGTATGCCTAGTTCGTTAATTCCTCTTTTTCTTCTATGATTAGTCTTTTGTAATTGTGATAATATCGTGTCTATCAGATTTAGCTATAACTGTCAATATGTGTCGTAGATTTATTATTTTGCGTTTCTATTCTAACAATAGGCCTTTTCGGTGGCTCGCAAGTACGGCAAAAAACAGCAAGTTGTTGGCCTATGCAGGCCTATACTGGCCGCAATGTACGCAAAACAACAACACTATTTTCTCTACCTCGGCCAGCATAGTTATGCTGGCCAACCACATCGGCCAGTAAAAAAAAAAATGTTACCAACGCAATAAGCGAACTATTGTGAACCTTCATTGAAAATTCCAACGAATAGTGCAATCAAATGTCAAAAATTGAGGAAATAAAAATTCAAACAGAATTCAAAAATTTGAAAAATCTTGAAAAGTAACGAAGAAATA